CAACCTCCCAAGACCATGACCAAGACCATTGAAGTCGCGCTCGAGCCGCACGAGCAGCTCGCGACGTTCGCTGCCGGCTGCTTCTGGAGCGTCCAGCTCCATTTCCAGCGCCTCGACGGCGTCCTCGACTCGCACGTCGGCTACATCAACGGCAAGACCGTCAACCCGACGTACCGCCAAGTGTGCGCGGGCGATTCGGGCCACGCCGAAGCCGTCCAGATCAAGTTTGACGAAAACAAGATCTCGTTCAAGCAGCTCGTTGAGAACTTCTTTGCGATCCACAACCCGACGACGCGCAACCGCCAGAAAAACGACGTCGGCACGCAATACCGCTCCGGTATCTACTACCACAGCGACGAGCAGCGCGAGATCGCCGAGGCCGTCAAGCGCGACGAAGCCGACAAGTTTCCCTCCGAGATTGTGACCGAGATCGAACCCGCGGGTACGTTCTACCATGCCGAAGACTACCACCAGCGCTACCTCGAGAAGGGCGGGCAGTGCGCCCGCGTCGGCTCTACGGACCGCATTCGCTGCTACGGCTAGCATTGCTCACGAGCGCCTATATATAAGCTACACTCAATGAATTATCCGATGACAACTTGTCTTCAAAATGTACAGACGTCAACAATTGTACACACATTAAATAGCGACCTACTGGACTGCGCACGAAGATCGCGCTGGGCCCACCGACTTGATGTACGACGTGAGGCTCGTGCGGCCGCTGGCAATCGCAAGCTGCCGACCGACCTTCAAGTCGACAACGGCAAAGTCGTTCTCGACCATATACCGCACAATGCCGAGGTGGCCGTTGGCGACAGCGCCGGTCCACGCCGCCTTTGTGCAGCCCTCGCACCGGTGCTGGTGCAGGTACCGGAAAATCTCGAGGCAGCCGAACCGACCGGCGTTGTCCATGGCCGCCGTCGAGAAGACGCCCAGCTTGTGCTCGTTGGCGTAGGCCACGATGTCGAGTCGGTCTTGGCGTATCGCCGTCAAGAGCACGTGGGCTGTCCAAAGCGGAAACCCGTTGTTGCGTCGAAAGTCGACGGCGTCGGCGTCGGTCGCTGCCACCACCCTCGGCGAACCGTACCGCGTCGGCGGGCTGCTCGCCGCGCGCGTCGATCGATGGTGCACCGAGCTGTTGGGCTTGGCAAAGTCGGCGACCAGCCGCACGCTTTCAGGCCGGTGTCGGTTGAGGTAGCGCACCACGTCCCAGTGCTTGTTCTTTGTGGCGCCGGCGAGGGCTTTGGGCGTACATCCCTCCCTTCGGTGCGTGTGCAGGAACCGGACGACCTCGAGGTGCCCCGCAGTTGCGGCCTCGTCCATGGTCTCGGCGGTAAAGCCGCCGCAGCCTTCCTCGTGGAGGTACGCCAGGACATCGAGGTGCCCTTGCTTGGCCACGAGGCTCGGGTTCACTGGGCGCCAGGCGTCGAGGTGGCGAAGGAGCTTCACGAGCGGTAGGTGCCCGCCGTTGCACGCGACGCTGGCCGCGAACGGCGGGATCGTCGCGCCTTGGCCATGCAAAAAATCGACCACCGACGCTTGGCCGGTGCGCAGAGCGTGCGCCATGGCCAACGGCAGGTACGTCGGCTGCTTGTGCTCGATAAAGTAGGCTAAAACCCCGACGTTGCCGAGGCGCGCCGCGAGGATCCAGTCGTCGCCGCCAATATCGAGGTCGCAGAGGCTTTCGAGCAGCCGCACGTTCGAGTACGCGATCGCATACTGCTTGAGCCGGGACCGAGTGCTTGGATCGCTCTGCAGAAGCGGCGCGAGGTCCGTCGCGCGCGTGTGCTGGGCAAGCCATGGCGCAAAGACTGCGTGGAACGGCGCAAGGGCAGCCTTGATGTTGCGAGTGTCGCCGTCGCTCTTGACGAGCGCGCGGAGGAGCTTGACGTCGAGCGGGACGCCTTCCTGAAAGTCGGCGATCGCGCGCACGAGATCGGAGTGCTCGGCATGAGCAAATCTGTGGGCAACCCACGTGGCAGCGTGCTTCGGCAACTCGCCACCGGTACCGCTGCTTCGCCGTGCAGCGCTTGTGGCGCAAAGATCACGCAGCATCCCGAGCTCCGAAGCCGCCTCGTTGCTCTCACGATGCGGCGC